AACTCTTCGATCTCAGCTGACGAACCTACGGTCTAGGATAGCTACCGGCTCCTCCTCATAAGTCAAATCTCTGTCTAACTGGACAGTGCTGAAGTCTAATAGGTGGGATGGATCGCCGTGATACTTCCGAAGCATGGACACATGAAACACTGGATGCACAACTGATAAACCCGATGGCAACGCAAGTCTGTAAGCCACCTCTCCCACTCGATCAAGGATCTCAAAAGGTCCAATGAACCTAGGGCTTAGCTTTCCCTTCTTTCCAAATCTCATCACGCCCTTCATGGGCGACACCCGAAGCAACGCTCGCTCTCCGACCATGAATGCCACATTACGAACCTTACGGTTGGCGTTACTCTTTTACCTGGACTGAGTTGTGCGAAGCCTATCCTGAATAATCTTAACCTTATCCAAGGCATCCTGTACTAAATCTGTACCCAACAACCGAGCCTCTCCCGGCTCAAACCATCCCGACCGACACCGTCTACCATATAATGCCTCATAGGGAGCCATCTGGATGCTTAACTGATAACTGTTGTTGTAGGCAAACTCCGCTAATGGAAAGAACTGATCCCACGAACCTCCAAAGTCAATAACACATGCTCGGAGCATATCCTCCAAAATCAATATAGTACGCTCGGACTGTCCGTCCGTCTGAGGATGAAATGATGTGCTCAACTCGACCCGCGTACCAAACTCACACTGCACTGCCCTCTAGAAATGCGAGGTAAACTGCGTACCTCGATCAGAAATGATAGACACGGGCACACCATGGAGACGAACAATCTCACGGATGTAAATCTCTACCAACCGCTCCAACGAATAGGAAATCGCCACCGGAATGCATGCGCCGACATAGTCATCCTATCCACAATAACCCATACTGCATAAAACTTCCTCTAAGTCCGTGGGAGTTCAACAACGAAGTCCATAGTGATAAGCTCCCACTTCCACTCAGGAATCTCAATCTTCTGAAGCAAACCACCAGGTCTCTGATGCTCGTACTTTACCTGCTGATAATTCAAACACCGAGCTACGTATGCAACAAATACTTCTTCATTCTCCTCCACCAATAATGCCGCCGCAAATCCTGATCTTACTGGGTTATATTTACATATAACTCACTCCTTACCTGCATGTCCATGCAGATACTATTGGTGAAGATGGAGCTAGTAGCTGACGAGTTCGCTAGAGTTGATTCAGTTATTGAGGTGAGCCGCCGCATTGTTCGTGGAGGCTTCCAAAAGATTCTTTTTTATTTATTCACATGAGGTCTTTTGTAATTCTCTTATATGCTCCATGGTCTAGTGTGGGATATGGGCTAGAGTTTCAATTAATATTTCAAGATATTAATTGTTCGTAATTAATGGTTAGATTATTTGGATACTCATTTGATTAATCAAATACTGCAAATTAATCGATAATGTATTAATATGGTTCGCCTGGCGGGTGGTGTTAGCTGGTGCCAGTCACGTCTAGGGGTAGTTTGGGACGTGACACCCTCCCACCTCGAGGTGAGGCATCTTCGGCTTTTTCTAGCTCGGGCTCATCAGGTCGGGGCAAAGCAGTTTCGGCTCCCGCGGGCCCAGTGGTTCCTTGAATCTCGGTGCCAGCTCGCACACGAGTCACTAGCCCAGAGTTTTCTTCTTCTTCATCATCATCTTCGGTCACGTCCCTTAGCTGTTGGACGGACTCCAGAGTTACACGGATGACATTCCCCTTAGGCTTATGGGGCCTCCTAGCCGGTCTTTTCTTTTCCGGGCCTGGAGAGCTCGGAGCCTCCTTTCTTTTCTTCTCTTTGACCTGCTTCAGGGCAGATGATGAAAGAAGTGCCTCTTCTTCAGCAGAGGGGGCCTCATTGCTACATCCTTCCCGAGGCCTACAAAAGAAAAAGATGAGTAAGTCCAATAACGAAGCTCGAAGGGAAGCCGTTCTAAGGAAAGAAGGTTACCATGGTTACGGGCTTCCCATTGACCCTTTGTAACTCCATCCAAGCACGTTCTGAGTAAGACTTTTGCGACACTAATCCCTCGATCCACTGCCTCAGGTCGTGGATCACTTCTGGCACGACGGCCACATCTGTAACACCAAAAAACTTAGATCACAAGATGATGAGAAGTAAGACGGCAGAGATAGATATTCAAAGGCAAAGCAAAATATTTACGTTTCATGTTCTTTTTTTCAGGAAATGACATGTCTTCGACAGGGATCAGGTCCGAAGTCTTTATTCGGATAAACCGGCCCATCCAACGTCAGTATCGTGTCTCGTCTATGCTCGGGAATAGGGGTTTGGTGGCTCGATAGTAAAGCTTGATCAAGCCTCCTAGATAAAGCCGGGGGCTGTAGAGACGCATAAGATGATCAAGGGTAAAAAGATGCCCCTCGATCTTGTTTACAAAAAATCGGAGGAGGATTACGATCCTCCGGAACGACGGATTACGATCCTCCGGAAGGGAAGAAGTGGGGCACTTCGTCGGAACAAAGTCCTCTGGGGAGGCTCCGCCACGGCTCTGGCAGGCCTTGACGAAGAAGCGGCTTCCTTGTATGGGACAGTTTTAGAGGTCTTAGCCATTTTTGTGAATAGGGAAGAACAAAACAGAGGAGGAACGCTTGGATATTTTGCGAAGAAACAAGAAAAGGGAACCAGGAAACTGAAAACACAAAGATTTGGAGAAAGCAAAGAACCGTGAAAATTAGGAAGTCAAAAATCGTAAGTAAAGTTTGAAAGGATGAGGAAGGCGGCTATTTATTGGCTTCGCAACGGCGGTTCAATACTAGTAGTGGCCGACCGGCAACTGACGCGCCTTAAATGCCTGGGAAACTGAACCAACAGGACGTTTCGGTCACCTCTGCCGTTTGCGTCACAATGCTTACGTCATGGTAAACCGAGGGCAGGTTCGAAGACTCAATTCGTTTCTTGTCATTACACTCCAAAAAACGAGGGGACTATCTCTATACGGTCAAATCGAGCTTCCCTAATTTTGTGTGGCTAACCGAAATCGAGGTAGCAGAACAAGGCTCGGCCTCACATTCTATCGAACCATGGTACGGAGATGGAGTACTAAGCTCGTGAATCAATGACCGATCAAGATCGAGACCAGTCGCGATCGAGACCAAAGCAAGAAGGGATCGAACAAGAAGCCTGCTAAGTCGAATAATGGAAAGCCGAGATAGTTGTGATCGGGCAAGGCCGTGGCGAAAATCTCGGCACGTATCGACTCAGGACCGGTTATTTAGCCAATCATGGGATTTTCTTCCATACTTAGAATTGTACCGTAAGTAGAATACCTCTACTATATAAATGGGGTTCTAATCACGTTGTAATCATCATACATTCACGCATAACAAGGAAATATATTATATTTTTTCTCTCGCAAGCTCTGTTGTTCAGTTCATACTTATCAATAGCATACTCAGTTGGTTCGAGGGCGATTTAGCTGGAGGGCCACCGTTGTTCATCATATTGGTTTGCTTTATTTTACTGTTAATTTCTAACATTAATTCTTATATTTATCAGTTTGTGCCAAATGAAATTATATATCTTTAAAACCACTTATAAGTTTAATTGTTATCCAATTTTAAGGGTAAACCATGATGATCGCATGTTTACCTAAAATCACAAGGAAGAATTGTCTCGAAAACATACAATCTTAGAATCCATACAGACTTAACACTAAGTAGGACAGAAGGGAGGAATAAGATCGATATAGACTTGTACCATTTAGTGTGGTTAAGGTTTAGTGTTTAAAGTTTGTTATTCTTGTCAGAGATTTGTATGCTAGTAAAAAAATAGGAAAAGGCCTAAAAATGCCACTCAACTAACATAAATGGCTTTTCTATGTCATCCGCTTAAAGGTTGCCCTATTCATGTCACTAACGTTATACTTTTGTCCTATTTATGTCACTATTTTTATACTTTTGGCCTATTTATGCCATTGTCGACTAACAATTCCATTTTCTGATTTTTAAATAATAACAATTAATTTTTCGACCCCACCTTTGCCACGTGTCTTTATATTACTGGTTCTTCTTTACTTGACCCTACATTTCTTTTAACCCTGATTATGTGTAATTAACCATGCCTAACCCGATAAAATCCAACCATATTTTAACCCAACCCCTAATTCCTTGTCACGACCCGATAAGATCAGTGTTCAGTGATTTGTATTTATTTGAAACTGATGTTGTGTTTATTTCAATTCAATTTGTAAAAATCTAAATCTTAGAAGCTCATTGTACTACCAGTCCTTGGAAAAAGTATTAAGGTTCAGTTATTTTATCATTTATTTGTCTAAAAAATATCATTAAATTGGATAGTTGTTAATTGGCTTACCTAGCGGGTTGGGTTAGGTGCCATCACGACTAGTTGGATTCTGGGTCATGACAAGCAATTAGGGGTTTGGTTAAAAGATGGTTGGATTTTATCGGGTTGGGCATGGTCAATTATCCATAATGAGGGTTAAAAATGTAGGGTTAAGTAAAGAAGAACCAGTAATATAAAGACATGTGGTAAAGTTGGGGTCGAAAAATTAATTCTTATTATTTAAAAACCAGAAAATGGAACTGTTAGTAGACAATGGCATAAATAGGCCAAAAGTATAACGTTAGTGGCATGAATAGGGCTACCTTTTAACGGATGGCATAGATAGGCCATTTATGTTAGTTGAGTGGTATTTTTAGGCCTTTTCCGTAAAAAATATAGAAACTTATAATGCTAGAAAACCTAAATATTCAAGAATTAATTTGCTATGGTATAGAGCGACATGATTAATAAGAATTCATAACCGACACTATTTTTAAGATTGAGGCAAAACTGTATAATACTATATCCCAAAAAAAAATGTCTGGCAGCTGAGAATGTAGGCTAATAATACACAATACACGAGTCAGTTTAGGATTTGATATTGGTCCAGGAGTCACATGTCAAGTTAAGACTACATAAAAGCAAATCTAAAGTAACAAAAGTAACATAAACATATATTAGCTACCTTCCCAAACTCTAAGTAAACATAATAAATAATGTACAATATAGAGTGCCACGGTACTTAGGAACAAATGAATAACCTCATTTGATTTCTCACTATACTGGACAAAAAGAATTTTACAAATGAGTTACAAATAGGCCAAAGAAGAAAAATTGTAAATGGCCTAACCCCCTAAGTTCTGTGTAGTAATTGAAAGGGAAAAACAATCTCCCCCAAAAAGAAATTAAAAGAAAATCAACCATTCATAGTTATAATTTCTTTTTCTGCAGTCTCCCTCTCAACAGCCTAATTTTCGCATCTACTCTTGCTGTGAATCCAATCTTAGTCTTCTGCCTTGCTTTAGATCCTTCTCTCTTCCACATATGACGATCTTCGATATCTTTCTTATAATATTTGATTTCTTGAATAATGTGATGATCCATCGGACTAAACGATCGTTGAAAAGCAATGTGAGCTAAGTAAGGCAGAGTACATACCATAGTTACTAAAAGAGTGGTACACCAGTAGATTGGAGCAGGAGCTAGAGCTTCCTCGAGTATTCTGAACGCGTATTTAGAATAAACTGGTGCTAATCTACCATATATCAAGAGAACTATGTACCAAGTAGCAATGCTTCCCCAAATAAGAATATGTTGTATCCATGTGAAATGACTCATAGTAAGTGCAATTTGGCAGTTGACAGCCCATATGACGCAGGTAAACATCGTAGTACCCAAAGCTGTCAAGTCAGCCGTCTGGCCTCCAGAACGGAAGGCTTGATCGTAAAAGATGATAATGTTGAGGAAGAAAATAATGAGGGACGTGTAGATACCATTGCCAAGCCACCCGAGTATTCTATACCAGTCAAAGAACAAATTTTTCGGCCCTTGTTGGTACAGTGCTGGAAACTGCAGAACAATTTAGCAGAGATGTCTGTGTAAGTCGATTTTATTGAAACTATGAGAAGTAAGATATTAACCGGAGGAATTACCTTTAAACAAACGTCAGAAGGCACATCCTGCTCGAATACTCCAAGTGCAATTACAGGCAATGAAGTAAGAATGACGTTGAATAGCATCATATATGAATCATCATAGACAGACTGTCCCGAAAAGCCAGCAAAAGCCTCGAAGTAAAAGAGTGTGAGGCCAAAACAGATGTTTTTGTAGAAGAAATAACATATCTGAACGCAGAAAATTATAATGCAAGTCAGCAAAATATATGAGAAGGATCCAGCTAGATCACTCTTTTATCTGCTTAGGCATTTTATGTCACTTGCCATATGTATTGGATCTTCTATACATAAAATGAAACATTATGTACAGTCATTACCATCTGAGCAATTCGCTTGTAGCACCAATGCCCATGTACAACAAGAAGTCTCTCCAGGTACCGGAACTGCGCAATAGCAAAGTCACTCGCCATCACAGCCTGCAACATAATAAAGGCTGATGTTACATGATATTATAACATACATTACAATTCGCAATTCAAAGTTCGAAAGACTGGAACTATGTGCATAAAAATCTAGAAATTGATCCTTATGGGAAAAAAATGATGCGTTTTAAGCAAAATGCTGAAACAGCTTTTAGATTAATAACGGCCAAATGCCACGTAGATGCACCATTAACCTGCATTCCTTCTGCGCCACTGATACCAACGCCGATGTCCGCTTCTTGAATCATCCCAACATCATTTGCACCATCACCAATTGCTAAGGTGATTTTTCCAGTTCCCTCTTTTACTAACCTTGTAACCTGATCCAAATCAATTACAAAGGAAATATAAATATGACCAATTTCATGGCTGAATAATTGGGGTAGAATTGCAGAAGCCAATTTGGTTTTTCTTACCAAGGCCTTCTGTTTAGGAGATACACGACAGCAGATGACAGATGCACAATTAACTGCTAAGTTCAAAAAGTGTTGCTTCATATCATTCTCCAAAGCGTAAGCTAGAGTTTTCCCATCAATAATCAAGGCAAACGCAGCATGTGGATCCTTTTCAAGTTTGATCATTTGAGAAGCATTTGTGATTTGCTTCAAAATGTCCTCCTTCATAGCCTGACCAGTAAAAAACAGAAATGGAGGCTCCATCACTTATAACAAATCTCCTACAAACTTTGTATACTTGGTTTAGAATGGCCTACCTGTTTAGAATCTTGAGCCACTGAGTCTGCATTCATTGTCGTTATGCTTATCTGTTTCATTCCTTGTCGAAGCAAACTACACGCATAGCTGCAAGGAAACAGGAATTTGTACTTAAGCAGTAATAAACCAATGACTGAATAAGCATTAATGTTGGAAAACATTTCTCTCTTTAGGAGACAGACCCTATGTTGATGGCTGTTTCCATCTTATCACCTGTCAGTACCCAGATTTTGAGACCAGCTTGCGCTAGTTTATCTATGCACTGAGGAACCTGGTGAAAAGATAAATAATGAATTATTCAGAAAGTGCCATTATGTGCAAGAAAATATACTTTGAATTTTTAAACAAGCTCATATTCCTTAGCAAAAGATAGGCGATACCTATTAGTTGAGAATATGTTTAAGTCATGTTAGCACTTTTACTTTACATCCTTTGCTTTCTTTGGATGTAAGTAGAAAATATATAGAACTTCTAGTACTTTTTATTTTTATTTTTATAATATTGGCCTGAGATGAGTTTAAATGGAGTAATATGGTCAGTGAGGATTCATATAGCGGATCCGAACTTGTTTGGACTGATGCGTAAATGTTGTATAAGGTACATACTCCCTTCTGTAGTTTATCCTCCACAGCAGTTGCACCAACAAGGATCAAGTCCCTTTCCATCATATCAGATACTCTTTCAAGCATGGCATCTCTATCACCGCCAATGTAAGATTTTGCTTTAGCAAACTCTTCATTCCAGGCTAAGTACTCCGCCTCATCGAGCTTTTTGTAGGCAAGAACAAGTGTACGCAACCCTGCTTCCCCATAATCATTTAAATGCTTTGTCATAGCTTCTTGAAACCTTCCTCCATTCTTTGATAATCTATCGTAGATGATGCTGCATAATTAAAGAAAAGGTTTGAAATTATATATTAAGAACATAGCCATAAATCATTTCTGTACAACTTAAGAAATAGCAGAGAGAGGTATCATAACTTATACTAATAATTTTAGCAAAACCACATCCCGTCTTCAACCCCCCCCCCCCCAAACAAAGGAAAGATATAGGAGGAAAGGGGTAATAGAGTAATCAAAGGATAAGCATATTGTAATTGACAGACAATTTAACAGCGTGTTTGATAACAAAATAGTCACTTAGATCACCTACTTTAAGGATGCATAGTTCATAGTAATAAAAAGGACATTCAAAGAAACACCTGTCTGCTCCTTTACACAAGAGAAGAATCTGGCCACTCTCATCGCGGATTATAACAGACATTCTCTTCCGCTTGCTAGTGAACTCCAATAGATTGAGAACTTTGAATTCCCTAAACGAATAGCAACAAGATGTAAGCTTAGAAAATAGTGACATACTACAAGTGGTATGCAATTGTTGTTGAGAGCAACTTACGAGTATGTGAGTTTACTCACCTTTCAATTGGCTCTTGAAAAGAAGGATATCTCTCCCGTACAAAAATGCTTGATTGAGTTCTTTTACAAAACTCAAAGCCAAATTCCCTAGCTGCAACAAGAAATGCTCCTTCATCTGGCGACTCCGCTTCATAGTTAAAGCTGCCAGTCTCCTCATTTAGCTCGGGAATAGCAGAATGACAAACTGAAAGTATCCTAAAGAATAACAAGATGACATCTGCATTTGGCTCTTTCATCCAATTTCCTTTCATAAGGCGGCTATCCTCAAAGCTGAACCCCTTTATTGCAGCTTTAAAATCGTCTTTAGAAGTGATGACACTCTCTAGTTCAATTTCTGATGAACCATTCTCATACTCACGTCTCGGTGAATCAGGATCTTGGCCACCAAGGTCCTCGGCCATCTGCTTTGCGGCTGCAAGTTCTACATCACTTGCACGCATTCCATATGACGTACCAGCAATGGAGCATTTTAAGAAGTCCATTTGGTTGCACGTCAAAGTGCCGGTTTTGTCTGAGAGGATAGTATCGACCTGCCCCAACTCCTCATTTAAGTTTGATGTTCGCGCTTGAGCAGGAGTTCCAGACTCATCATCATACATACTAATATCCTGGTTTATGAACAATGCCTGTAGGACCTTCACAACTTCAATGGAAACATAGAGGGATATAGGAATTAAATAACCATATAGTATAAGTGCAGTGACTAGATGCAAAAGGCCTGATAACTCAGGCCGTCTTGGATCGACCACATTATTTACTTCGTTCATAGGTTGCATATACCACCAGCTTGGCAATTGAAATTTTGCATATATGGCAAAGCCGATTGAACTGACAAATGAGATCGAGAGAAGGACAGTAAAAAGGAGGTAAATAATCTTGTCCATCTGTAGTTCGATCCTACTCCTTTTAGAAGGAGACTTTGTAGAATTCTGCATAACTTTGCTATCATGACCAGTAAATATAGCAACTCCATAAACATAAGCTGTATTCCTAAGCTTTGAATCCCTGAGGAGAATCTGACTCGGATCAAGAGGATAAACCTGACGATCATACTCGAGGTTGCCCACAAAAGTGTAAAGACTAGGATTAGGATCTTCACATTTTATGGTTGCACTGAATTGCTTGAAAGCCTCATCATCCTCCAAAGGTAGAGTAACCTCCAACGCTCGTTTTACCTTCAAGTTTGTCTCTCCATCCAAGTTCATAGTTTCCACATAACAGATTCCATCTTCATAACTAGACGATAAAAGAAGTAAATCCGCCGGGAAAAATTGATCCTTCTCCACTTTCACGATGTCTCCAACCGAAATCTTCATCCACGGCTTATGACCAAACACACCATCTTCCTTGTGGACACCAGCTTTCCTATGATTGACCTTCGTATCTTGTATGAACCGCCGCGAGTCTTCTAAGGCTTCCTTCGCCATACTCAACCCGACCACAAAGACCAACGGAGCTACCATACTGAAAGCTGAGAATGGCGAAAGGTTTGTTGTGGATGACACAATCGCAGCCATGAGAAAATACAAGTTAGCGACACGTCTGAATTGCTCGAATAAGGCCTTGGGTAGAAATGTGATGATGTTATACTTTGTGGTGGATATGTGATTGCTGCAATACTTAAGAGGTTTCTTTTCATGGAGATGGGGCTGGTTACAATGTACCACTCGCGAGAACCCAGGGCCTAACTGATGGGGACCATCTTCCTTGGCATGCGACCGGTAGCAAGCAAATGAATACAAACTGCTCCTTCGGATCTTTGCCCTTATCCTGCCTCGCGCCATTTCTTTTTTCCTCTCAAGGAAAGCCTAAATCAGTTGCACCACAACATGATAACTTTCCTAAAAGGAAAAAGACATGAATTGAAGGGCATCCTCATGCAAGCATTCCTTTTATATGTGAATTGGGATACCCAGAGGAATTAGGCCAGGCCTGTTACACAAAGGGTGCTAGATTAACCTCAAATGTATAAATTAATCACAGCTCATCTAAGTAACATCAAGATCCAAAAAAAAATGGCAGCTCGATGCACTAAGCTCCCTCGGGGTCCGGGGAAGGGCCGGACCACAAGGCTCTATTGTACGCAGTCTTACCCTACGTCAAGATCCAACATTTCTTGAAGATCACTATATTTTATTTAAACAAATTTGAGTCTACCTGAGCATTAAATTTGGAAAATGGCCCCTGCATATATCCAATAAAGATTCAATGTTTACAACAGATTTAACTTTCTTTGAGGGGAAATAACAAAAGATTTCAGCTAAGCTGCAGCTATTTTGCAAGCATTTTAAACATAACAAACACAATAACCACAACACAAAATACATAATCCTTCAGAAAGAAATTTCATTTACCAAATTACAACAGGCAAAGTTTCACAGAAGAAAAAAAAAGGGGCAGCACATTTTCTTGTGATTAAAAAAAAAAAAAAAAAAAGCAAGACACAGGCCACAAAGGCATTTCCTCAATATCTACTTAAAGGAAAATATTAAAGGAAAAAAAAAAGGGGTACCTGAAAAGGGAAGGGTCAAGAAATAAGGAACTGGCGATTGATATAACTGCAAAAAAAGACCCTGAAACAGAAAAAGGCAGCAGCTTTCTTGAAAATCGAAATGTAGAACGTAAGAGAGAGAAAGAAGAGAGAGAAGGAAGGACGATGATGGGGTTCAGGAGAGAAAGAAGAAAGAGTCCTTTCTCTCTCTCTCTCTCTCTCTGTCCCAAAGTCGTCCGAAGCAATGCCAGTATTTTAGGACCCGAAACAACCCCTTCTCTCTCTTTCTTTCTCTTTTTATGGAGTTTAATGTGTGTAACATAACATAACATAACATAAACATGTTGTTTTGTTTGTGTGTTTTCTCCCTCTTACAGACATGGCATTCACTGCTTCTTTCTCGGAACTTCAGTTGCATTATTCACTTCTCCAAATATTCGCCGTCCTTTTTCTTGTTTCTTGAGAAAAAAAAATGAATTATTCTATTAAATACTCCCTTCGTTCCAATTTACATTACTTTGGACATAAAGTTTAAGAAAAAAAGATTACTTTTAAAATTTGTGGTCCTAAACAAGTCAAAAAGAGGCCAAGAATATTTGTTTGATTATAATTAAGAGTAGAATTGTAAGGTTAAGCTAACTTGTTATCAAATTTAAAAAGGAGTCATTTTTTCTACTGGATAAAAAAAAAAAAGTTAGTGAAACGGAGGGAGTCGTTGCTTTTTGGACAGTTGCTTCACAAAAAAAATTATTCAACCCCAAATACTACAGTAGTCCTATAAACTTAAGCCTTAAGGTTTATACACTGATGATAGCAAGAACTATTACATCATCAAATAGCATGCAATTTCTAACTTTTAGGAGGTGTCTTATATTTTTTATAAGTTCGTGATAGTTTTCAACTATTAAGCGAATTTTTTTTCTTTTTAAGCAAATCCACTAGGCAGGTGCCTAGGGCTAGTTTTATTAATAATAAAAAGCAAAAAAAAAAAGAACCACATAGGAAGATTACAAATAAGGGGGACAATAGCACCAGTAATGTTGCCTCTATGCCTTGGCCATATAATCGCTCATCTGCGCCTCACAATGCCCTTATGACAGACTCATGTAGAGGAATCATGGTGTAGCTGCCGGCAAAGTCTCACGAGGGCGTATATATTGAGCACATGCCCATGTTGTCCAGCCAAAGGCCCAATGGCTTAATCCTATTCTCTTTTGGTTTCCATTCCTATTCGAAATTGGATTTGGTGTTTATTCCTATTTTGAGTGGGTTTTGGCTTTAAGAGAAAGCACCACTCATGATCTATAAATAGGACAACCTTGGAGAATTGTTCTAATCTCATTTTGATACAAGTCTTTGAAAGACTTAAGCACATAAGAGTGGGTTTTGAGAGAGCTTTCATCAAGAGAGAAGAGAGAAAAAAAGTATTTGTTTTGCTGCAGATTTTTATTCCGACCAGCCAACTTCAAATCACATTTTTCGATTCGTTAACCGTTGGATCGGGCTGAAATTTTGACTGAGTGTTCGTAACATCTTGGTCTTGAATTTGAACGGTGGAGATCGGATTTGGAGGCTCGTAGCATCTGATTTTCGAGCCTCAAACATCAGCTTCGTTTTGTGGATTATACTCTTTTTTCAATTGATTAGTTGTTGGTCTTGTTGCTATTGTTGCTCCGTGTGTGGCCCTTGTTGTGTAGCCAATTTGGAGAACTTTTGTAACCCTCTTATTGTTATAGTGGAGCTTTTTGGATCTTTGTGATCCCGTGGTTTTTACCTTCGATTTGAAGGGTTTTCCACGTTAAAATTTGGTGTTCTTTATCTTCTTTATGTTCGGGTTTGCCTCTTCCTCGACATAACAGTGGTATCAGAGCCTTGGTTATTTATCCGGGTTATTACGGAATGGAGGCGAATATGAGCAAGATGGTATGTTTAAATGGGAGAAATTATAATGTTTGGAGAAGCAAGATGAAAGACTTGTTGTTCGTGAAGAAGATGCATCTACCCGTTTTTTCAGCTCATAAACCCGAGAATATATCCGATGAAGATTGGGATTTCGAGCACCAACAAGTATGTGGATATATACGGCAATGGGTTGAAGATAATGTTCGCAACCATATTGTGAACGAGATACATGCGAGATCATTGTGGGAAAAGCTAGAGACTCTTTATGCTTCAAAAATCAGGAACAACAAATTGTTTCTGCTAAAGCAATTGATGACCTTTAAATACAAGGAAGACAGCCCTATCCTTGATCACATAAATGATTTTCAGGGCGTCCTTGATCAGCTATCTGGAATGGGGGTTAATTTTGATGATGAGATACAAGGACTTTGGCTTCTTAATACTCTGCCAGACTCTTGGGAAACTCTTCGTGTTTCTTTGACAAATTCAGCTCCTGGAGGTAAGGTGACCATGGAATATGCCAAGAGTGGTGTGTTAAACGAGGAAGTAAGGAGAAAATCGCAGGGTTCATCCTCACAAGCAGATATCTTGGTTACAGAAGACCGGGGGAGAGATAGAACAAGAGGCTCAAGGAATAGAGGTAAAAGTAGAAGTAAGTCAAGGTCCAAATACTATAATGTTACATGCAACCACTGTGGCAAGAAAGGACACATCAAAAGGTTTTGCCGCAAGTTGAATCAAGACACTAGAGAAGGAAAGAAAGTTGAAAATAACGAGAACAATGTTGCTGCTATTGTTCAAGATGACCTTCTTTTTGCTTATGATGAAAACGTCATCAATTTGGTATCCCATGAGACGAGCTGGATAGTAGATTCTGGAGCTACCTCACATGTCACACCAAGAAAAGATTTTTTCTCATCTTATACTCATGTTGATTCTGGAGTGTTAAAGATGGGCAATGCTAGTGAAGTTAAGGTGTTTGGTGTTGGCACAGTTTATTTGAAAACTAATAATGGTTCAACGTTAGTTCTTCAAGATGTGAAGCATGCTCCAGACTTTCCTTTTAATTTGATCTCCGCAGGAAGATTAGACGATGAAGGTTACCATAATGCTCTCTTTAACGGCCAATGGAAGCTCACCAAGGGCTCGTTAGTAGTGGCTCGAGGAGTCAAGTCTGGTCAATTATATGTGACATAAGGCTCTATTCTTAATGACTCAATAAATCTGTGGAAAGTGATAGTTTGTCAGAATTGTGGCATCGAAGATTGAGTCATATGAGTGAGAGAGGGATTACGCGTTTGGCTAAGAAAAGTTTGCTTTCTGGAGTAAAACAAGCAAAGCTGCAAAGGTGCATACATTGTTTAGCTGGAAAACAGAAAAGGGTTTCCTTTCATAGCCATCCTCCCTCAAGAAAGCCTGATTTATTAGACCTAGTACACTCTGATTTGTGTGGTCCTTTTAAAGTAAAGTCAAAAGGTGGTGCACTTTACTTTGTGACCTTCATTGATGATCATTCTCGTAAGCTCTGGGTGTATCCTTTGAAATCTAAAGATCAAGCACTTGGCGTGTTTAAGGAATTTCAGGCCTTAGCTGAGAGACAGACGGGGAAGAAATTAAAATGTATTCGCACTGACAATGGTGGTGAATATTGTGGTCCCTTTGATAACTATTGCAAGGAACAAGGAATTCGTCATCAGAAAACTCCGCCCAAGACGCCTCAATTGAACGGTTTGGCAGAGAGGATGAATAGAACTCTAGTTGAGAGAGTTAGATGCTTACTTTCAGAGGCTAAACTTCCAAATACATTTTGGGCGGAAGCACTTAACACTGTTGCCTATGTTATCAATTTGTCTCCTGCTGTTGCTTTGGATGGTGATGTCCCAGACAGAGTTTGGTTTGCCAAAGATGTTTCTTATGATCACCTGAGAGTTTTTGGGTGTAAAGCTTGTGTGCATATTACCTAAAGATGAGAGATCGAAACTGGATGTCAAAACTAAGCAGTGCATCTTTATCGGTTATGGTCAAGATGAGTTTGGGTATCGTTTTTATGATCCAGTTGATAATAAACTTATTAGAAGTCGTGATGCAATATTCTTTGAAGACCAAACTATTGAAGATATTGACAAAGCTGAGAAGATAGATTCTCAGAGTAATGAGAGCTTAGTTGATATTGATCCAGTTTCAATTGCTAAGGCACCTATTGCACATGAAGGAACCCAAGACAATGATGGAGATAGTGATTAAGATCAAAATGATCATCATAGTGTAGATGTTATGGATGCTCCAGTTCATGAAGTTGTGGTTGATCAGCAACCAATTCCTGCACAGGTAACTACTACGAATGCTCCTGAAACCTCTCTTAGAAGATCTACAAGGGAGAAGCAAAAATCCATGCGCTATCCTCCTGATGAGTATATACTTTTGACTGACATGGGAGAACCTGAGAATTATGATGAAGCCATGCAAGATAATCACAAATATCATTGGATCGAAGCAATGGAAGATGATGAAGTCACTCCATGAGAATGGCACATATGAGTTAGTGAAATTGCCGAAAGGTAAGAGAGCTTTATCTAACAAATGGATATTCAGAATAAAGCAATATAACCATACCTCTGCGCCTAGATACAAGGCAAGGTTAGTTGTTAAAGGTTTTGGCCAGAAGAAGGGAGTTGACTTTGATGAAATTTTCTCCGCTGTTGTGAAGATGTCTTCTATTCGTGTGGTTCTAGGCTTAGCCGCAAGTCTAGATTTAGAGGTTGAGCAGATGGATGTCAAGACTGCTATTCTTCATGGTGATTTAGATGAGGAGATTTATATGGAGCAACCTGAGGGTTTTGTAACTAAGGGAAAAGAAAATTATGTCTGCAAATTGAAAAAGAGCATGTATGGATTGAAACAAGCTCCAAGGCAATGGTATTTGAAGTTTGAATCTGTCATTGAAGAACAAGGGTACGAGAAAACTTCTTCAGACCACTGTGTATTCTTCCAGAAGTTCTCTGATGATGATTTTATTATTTTATTGCTTTATGTGGATGACATGCTTATTGTTGGAAAGAATAAATCCAGAATTGCAGTCCTTAAGAAGCAGTTGAGCAAATCGTTTGCGATGAAGGAGTTGGGGCCAGCAAAGAAAATCTTGGGCGTTCAAATCCACCGACACAGAGATAGAAATGAGTTATTTCTGTCCCAAAAGCAATACATTGAGAAGGTACTCAAGAGGTTCAATATGACAGATGCAAAAGTAGTTAGTACTCCTCTTGCTAAACACTTCAAATTGAGTATTAGTCAGAGTCCATCTACTGATGAAGAGAAAAAGGAGATGTCTCGTATTCCTTACTCTTCTGCCGTTGGTAGCTTGATGTATGCTATGGTTTGCACTAGACCAGATATTGCACATGCCGTTGGCACTGTTAGTAG